GAGAGAGGGAGAGTGTGTGTGTGTGTGAGAGAGGGAGAGTGTGTGAGTGTGTGAGAGAGGGAGAGTGTGTGAGTGTGTGTGTGTGAGAGAGGGTGTGTGTGTGAGAGAGGGTGTGTGTGTGAGAGAGGGTGTGTGTGTGAGAGAGGGTGTGTGTGTGAGAGAGGGTGTGTGTGTGAGAGAGGGGGTGGGGTGTGTGTGTGAGAGAGGGTGTGTGTGTGAGAGAGGGTGTGTGTGTGAGAGAGGGTGTGTGTGTGAGAGAGGGTGTGTGAGAGAGGGTGTGTGTGTGTGTGAGAGAGGGTGTGTGTGGGTGTGTGTGTGTGAGAGGGTGTGTGTGTGAGTGTGTGTGAGAGAGGGTGTGTGTGTGAGTGTGTGTGAGAGAGGGTGTGTGTGAGAGTGTGTGTGTGTGAGAGGGTGTGTGTGTGAGGGTGTGTGTGTGAGTGTGTGTGAGAGAGGGTGAGTGTGTGAGAGAGGGTGAGTGTGTGAGAGAGTGTGTGAGGATGCAAAAAAATCTAAATATTGAGAAAATCATCTTTAAAGTTGTCCAAATGAATTTCTTAGCAATGCATATTACTAATCAAAAATTAAGTTTTGATATATTTATGGTAGGAAATTTACAAAATATCTTCATAGAACATGATCTTTACTTAATATCCTAATGATTTTTGGCATAAAAGAAAAATGGATCATTTTGACCCATACAATGTATTTTTGGCTATTGCTACAAATATCCCCCAGCGACTTAACACTGCTTTTGTGCTCCAGGGTCACATATGTGCATGTATATAATGTGTGTGTATATATATGTATGTTTACATTTATCTCACACACACACATAGATATTAACTATCAACACATCTGTACGAGTTTTGTCACCCACAGATGTTTTCGATGAGGTTTACCTATTGTATTGTTTGTCCTGAACAGATTACAGGTCCGGATGGGAAGCAGATCTATAAAGGAGACCGTGAGTCCAGCGGCAAGTATTCTGTAGCCGCCCATATGGACGGGATCTACAAGTTCTGCTTCAGCAACAAGATGTCCACCATGACCCCTAAGATTGTGATGTTCACCATCGACATCGGCGAGGCACCTAAAGGACAGGACATGGAGACAGAGGGTGAGCGTGTAAACTGACGCAGGGGTTTCTGGGAACTTTGTTTTTCATAGTGTGATTCCTTTTTGCTCCATATGGCAGGGTTCCCACAGTCTCGGAAAACCAGGAATCTTTCGGGCAACTGGAAAATTCATGGAAAATAAAATATTTGTTGAAATTTCTATAATGAATGTCAGGTTTTCTGCCTAGTTCTAAAATATTTCAGTTGCCTTGAAATTTCTTTATTTCTATATATCAGGGTTATTACAGTAAAAATTAATTGATTGAAATGGATAACTTAAATGAACTCAAATATCAAAAAATGTAAATAATTTTAGCTAGTTAAACTATATAGGCGTATTTAAAAGAAAAAGAAACTAACAAAATTACTAAAACTTTAACTGAAATGAAAATATAAAAGTAAAAACGAATTAAAAATAAGTGTAAACTATAATGTTGTTGAATTTACATGCTGCATATGCAGAAATGTTTGCGTTGATATAGAGTAAATTGCTATTAATTTATTTCCAACTCATCATTAATTAAAACTGACATGAAAATTAAAACTGTAGTCATATAAAAAAAAATGTAACTAATAAAATTATTTTAACTAAAGTTAAAATGAAAATAATCAATCAAATAAATCAAAATAAGTGGAACCTATAATTGTATCTCAATTCTAAAATGACTCTCTATATTGTTAATATTTAATTATTAATAATAATTAAACAAATTTAGTACTTATACAGTGCTGAAAATATGATTTAACATGTTTTTTTGCCTCTAACGTGCTTTCTTCCCTGTTCAGGAGGCGGTGACAGCTGGGATGGTAGGAGTAGACTGTACAGTAGATCATTTTAACATCTGTTGAGCTTTAAACTTCAGTCTAACTGCATCTGCACTTCAGTTTGCACCTGTGTGTATAAAGACAGTGTGACCAATGAGCTGAACATTTCACTCACTGATGTGCTCATAAAAATATTGTTGAACCCTAAAGAGAGTATGGTGTGGCTTTGGTTTTACAGATATAACATGAATGTTGTTTGATCATAGAAGAGTGTTTTATCGTTTGAAGTTATCATTGCCTGTTTTGCGTTTTTTAACTGAAGTCTATTCTTGGTATTTATCATTTCTGCTCTATACAGAAGTGTTTTTATTAATGAAAACAAAACGCTAAAGCCGTTTATGACTCTCGCATGTGTATCGGAGACGTTCACAGTTGGTTCCAAACTTTTATACTGCTGTTTGTAAAACTTGGTTTTGTATTTGCGTGCTGCATAAGCAGAAATGTTTGCGTAGCTATGATGATTGAGTAAATCGCGATACATTTATTTCCAGCTCATCAGAATAAGCTGGAGGAGATGATCAACGAGCTGGCGGTTGCCATGACGGCGGTCAAACATGAGCAGGAATACATGGAGGTCCGAGAGAGAATACACCGCGCAAGTAAGACATCCGCACTGATCGCGTCACCACCGCTGTCGTCATTGAATTTTACGCAATTATTATTTTGCAAGGTTTTTGAAAACAGTGAACACATGTGCATGTTTAAATGCCCTTTGAATTATTATTTATATAATTTCAATTTTGACATTGCATGAAACCAGCTGTAATGTGCATATATATTACCGCCAGGATCACAAGGGTGACCCCTAAGTTAAGAATAACAGTGGGTTAAGGAGCTAATGCAGCTTTTTTTTCTTCGCCTCCACAGTTTAAACACTATTCTGGGGTATTTACCCAAGCAGCGGCGTACAGGGCTTTTCTCCGCCACACAGACGCAAGAGCTGGAGAAGTTGGTGAGGGCCGGTCTGCGCAACCCTGTGCGAATCACAGTGAAGGAGAAAGGTGTGGCGGCCTCGAGCGTGCAGAAAACACCAGCCAGACTCAGCAATTATTACGCAGTGAGTCATCTAGAGCCGCCTGAAACCAGCCGGGACTCATTCACTGATGCACATGCATGCATTTTCATGAAGCGTTTCAGAAATTATAGCTGCTCTGTTAATTATGACATGAAATCCGTACTGACTGCGTTTACACCTTTAATTCACATTCCTCTCTCATTATGAACAAATTGGGTTGGCAGTATTAGCTTGTCTGAACTAATTCCCAATATTTGAGGGGAGTTATTTATGTAAACATTTTATCTGATGTGCAGATATGTCGGGCAGAGGAGAAGTTCAACGCTTTGGTGGCGTTTCTCAGGCAGCACAAACATGAGAAGCAGCTTGTGTTCTTCAGGTTTGTTAGACTGATTTTGCCACAATAAGTTTGGAATCATTAGGATTCTTTTGAAATAAGTCTCACTAAGGCTGCATTTATTTGATCAAAATACAGTATAAATAGTTATATTGTGAAATATTATTACAATTTTAAAATAAGTGTTTTCTATTCGACTATATTGTAAAATGTAATTTATTCCTGTGAGTCAAAGCAGTATTTTCAGCATCATTCCTCCAGTCTTCAGTGTCACATGATCCTTAAGAAATCATTCTAATATGCTGATTCATTTTTGATTATTATCAGTGTTGAAAACAGTTTTTACTGCTTAATATTTGTGGAAACAGTGATGAATTTTTTTCAGAATTCTTTGATGATTAGAAAATTCAAAAGAACAGCTTTTTTTTCTTTTGTAACATTATAAATATTCTTTTTATGGTTGTCTTTCACTTTTGACCAATTTAATGCATACTTGCTGAATAAAATACTTTTTTTTTTTCTTTAAAGACTGACTTACCCCAAACTTTTGAATGGCAGTTTATCATTTTTTAATAATTGATAATAATCAGAAATGTTTCTTGGGCAGCAAATCGTTGTGTATTAGAATGATTTCTGAAGGATCATGTGACACTGAAGACTGGAGTAATGATGCTGAAAAATAAATTGCATTTTGCAATATATTCAAATGGAAAAAGATATATTTTAAATTGTAGTATTTCACAATATTACTGTTTTTACTCTATCAAATAAAAGCCTTGGTGGGCATAAGAGGCTTCTTACAAAAACATAAAAATCATAATTATGTCAAAATTTTGGTCAGTAGTGTAAATCTTTTTACACACTCATTAGTGTAAATAATATTGTTCTCTGTATCCGCAGCACCTGTGCCTGTGTGGAGTACTTCGGTAAAGCCCTGGAAGTCTTGATCAAGAATGTCAGCATCCACTGCATCCACGGGAAGATGAAACATAAACGAAACAAGATCTTTGCAGATTTCCGGGCGCTGAAGAGGTAATGTAGTGTGATGCCTTTCTAGCTGTTTACAGAGAGGAAGTTAAAGACCCAGAATAAATGCGTTATGGATGTGTGCAGTGGGATTCTCGTGTGCACAGACGTCATGGCCAGAGGCATCGACATCCCAGAAGTGAACTGGGTGCTTCAGTACGACCCACCAAGCAGTGCAAGGTAACCAGGACATTCATGAACACACTTGAGCTCAAAATCATGTACTTGTGAGTAGAGGTCGACCGATAGTGGATTTTGCCGATACCGATAGCTAGGTTGGACCACACTGGCCGATACCGATTAATTAACCGATAGTTTTAAAATTGATATTCAACAAAAACTAAAATAGTGCTTTATTAACAAAAACAGTACTGAACCATACTAGTAGTAATAATAATAATATTATAATATAACTTGGCATGGATGAGTTTGAAGTTCGGCGTTTAAAAAACGGAGCAATCGGAAAGAGAAAGCGCAACCTATATTATAGCTCTATAAATGAAGCACACAGACTTTATTAGAGCCACAGAAAGACAAACGTTTTGCTGAAAATACACAATTCATAATGTACATTAACAACGATTCGGGACCAATATAATGTAATTTAAAGGAAAACTATGTGAATGGCACTCTGTGGCGCGGCAGGATTTTCTGTCGGCTGCATTTAAATCCGCGTCTGAAGTTTCCCGCTCTGTTCAGCGTGCAGTATCACGTGTCTAAACAAATAGCACGTGCTGT